AAAAAACAATTATTTTGTATCGAACAGCAATTTATAATCATTGATATTAAGATGTATGCACTACTGAATGTCTTTTACTGAAGTAATTAGACTCACAGCCTGGAGGGATTGCTTAGCCCAATTGTGTATCTCTGTTTTGCTAGGCTTTACATTTCCATTTGACTTGAAATGGAGAGTTGGAGCACAAATGCGCGCCATTTGGAACCAGGGCAGTATTGGCCTGTAAAACCACTTTTCTCTAAGTATACATAAAGCAGCAAGATCATTACCGTATAGCTTGAGTATTCTGCAGAAGGTCATCCATCTCTTCCTCATCTTTGTAATGTAGCGCAGCAGAGGAGATGCTTCCAAAACCCATTTTTGATAAAATCGTAGATAAAATCGACATACTCTTCTGCAAATTTAAAGTCTAAAAAGGGCAACACTGCATGCCATTAGCTTACCGATTCTTGCCCGTGAATGGCGGTGATCTCATCAAGCACTGGTATTTCGACAATGGTTAGCAGGCGAAAGAGAGCGGCGTCATGCAACTGGACTTCTTCTTAAACCCATTTCGTTTTAGTATAGAGAATTTGAAGTGTATAAGAGGAGTGAAATGCTGATCTCCGACCTATCCATACCTACTCATACATCACGCTGAAACTGTATGAACAGATCCACAAAAGTGTTACTATCGGAACTATTTTATATGGTAGTACAGCGAGTTTAATTAACTTAGATTTTGACGATTCTTTATTGGCTAACCTTTTGGCACTGTCAAGTTCTTCAGATTCGTCGAATATGAAGCGACCTATTGTCTCTTATCGGACGAACCACAAAGCCTCAAACGTTGGAGGAGGATTGACGCCAAAAATCTAAAAATGAATAGGAACGCGGAGTGCATGGCCATCACTAGAGAACTCCTCTTGTTAATCCCTCTGTGGATTTGAATACGAGACCATTTGAGGCACAACTTTAGTATTAGGTGTATTCTTCTGCATACTTTTGTTCTGTCAACGAGATTTGCATGTTTATCGTAATCTGAATATTTGGACCTTCTTCTGATTGAATGTTGCTCGAGCCTTCTGTTGACGTTGAGAGAATAGATCGCTTAATTTGACTTTCCAAGCTCCGACGAGACCGAGAGCGCCGAAAGGTTAGCCAATAAAGAATCGTTAAAATGTTTCTTCCTGTCTTTTAAAAACCTTGGTCTGTTACCTAAACAGCTCAATCAGTCTCCTAAACCAGGACTCAAAAACAGTCGAACGTGGACACTACTCTGCATTATTTGATAAATATACTTAATCTGAGGGAGTAAAGCTTCGAGATCTGTTTGTTTGAGCAAGTTGAATACATTACAGCGCATAATTCATTACAATTATTACTTATGCTCAAAAATCATAGTCTGCTTGGAAACTGTGATTACCTGCTAGTGGTCGATTCTGCGAGTTGGACTGCGCTGGCTGGGATACGAAATGGACGATATGGTGAGAGTCGCAACCATCACTGGCTGAAGAGGGCGATCGAGAAATCGTAACATGCGGCGTAGTTGGTGCTTCAGATAATTTTGCTGTAATGATAGTGCAATGAAAACTGAAAGAAAATACAAGCATATACTCACATCTGCCAGGAGAGAAGAACCTCTTAAAGGAACTGCTTCTTGATGTGCGCCTACTACTATCTCTGTTGGCAATCATAGGAGATGCGCAAACATAAAGTCTGAAGAAAGAAAGAAAGAAATTTACCAGCTTCAGTCTTTTACAATTTGCTGTCCTCTAATAAGTGCTGGCTGCACAAAAAACAATTCAGAAGGGATGATAAAGAACCAAAACACAACCTACCCAAAGGAAAAAGCATTTTTGGGGAACTTACTTGTGATCTTCGTCTCGGTTCATTATGTACATCACTTTCTTGCTGTCTTGGAAAAGCGGTGGAGAGTCTTTGCAGTTACTGTGGACTGGACTGATAACATTTTCACGCAACCACATGTCCAAAACCTAGATGGATACACTAGTTGACCTTATTTTTATTAATAGAAGAAAAATTTACTTTTCTCAATCACAATAGCTATTCTAATTGGTTTTTCGAAAATATAACAGATCAAAGTAAAGATGGCATCTAAGTGTTGTACAGAATAAAATTTCTTCCGAAATCAAAGATTTGAAAAGATTCGATCGCCTTTTACACGCAGCAATATACGACCAATTTCCAAAGAAACTATCAAGACTTCTAAAGGTGCCATTATGTGAGAGATATTGCCTGTCACGACTGTCACAACAGTATTTCTTTCATAAAAGACAAAAAAAA